ACCCAATACTAAAACCATATACCTCAAAGTTTTCAAAAATTCCAAATGTAACAATTACCCAAGAGGCTTGAGATCAAGACATGGGTCCCCATGATATTAATTTTGCATGTTCACTGAGAATATGGGAATTTCCCCTCATTTCTACATATGTTGTCAGGTGTGCCAGGACTTCCTAAAAGTCTACAAAGTGTTTAGTCAAGGCATTTTGCAAATTGTAATTTTCAAACAACATTGCATCACTAGTGCCAAGGCTCTGTGGGGTACAAAGTGAGCCATAACCTAAAAACCATGAAATGAGCTCAAATGAAGAGAGGAGATGGTGCTGGACGCAACATGAATACTTAACACAACTTCCAGGATCCACCTCAGACCAGATTGACCAGGTTCCTTTCCTGCCACAAACTGTCATGAACCTCAAAGCTATCTGTTCAAAGCCTTGATCAAAGCCTGGACCCCTTCAACAAACTTCACTTTGAATTAACTAAAGGCTGACCAAATACTCTCTGAGGAGGAAGGAAATTTAACAGGTATCTATAATAAAAGATTTCCTGAGGTTTTGAAATTCTAACATCTGAGAAGACATAAAAGTTGATGAAAATGTGAGCCGCCAACTGCCTTCAACCCTCCTTGACATCTATGGCTGGAACCTGTCTACAAAAGCTCTGCTCCATGGTTTCCATGGTTTCCATTCGGGTGTCCTTAACTCACACCCAAAGTCTGTCTCACCAATTACACTGGCTATTACAGGCCAACTTACAAAGAAGAGGACAACATTTAATTGGGAAGAAAGTCACCTAACAGTAAGTGGTAGTCTCATTTCCCAATTAAAAACCTGACAAAAATCACAAACATAAAATAACATCTCCAAAATGCTTTCTTGCTTATTTCCCACATAGAAAGGTTGTCTCCTCCAACTTCATCAAACAAAAGGTTGAGGATGGGGGTGGGGGGAGCGGGTCATTAGAAAAGAAGGAAAATGCGTGTGTGTGTGTGTGTGTGTGTGTGTGTGTGTTAAAACTGTCTAGATTGTACATCAACAGATAATTAGGACTCTGTCCACCCAATGAGTTCTGTTTTAAAGGGCTGGTGGCAAAACTTAAACCCAACACCTGTCAGTTAGCAGCAGCCTCCAACAGACTAAATCCCAAGCACCATCTGTTTCCTCATCAAAGCCCTCCTCATAGATCTGAGGACCTCAGTAAAGCCCTGGGAGTATACCCTTTCAAACACCTGATTGTCCTGGAATATTTTTACTCTTTTAAATTGATTACAATTTTTTATGTATGAGTCTCAAGATACTTTAAAAAATGTATCAAACATAATACTTGTACTACAATTACATCATCTTTAAATTATTTTGGCTTTAAAGTGACAGACTAGCATACTAGCAAAATAAAGCCATAGTTTAATTATTTAGTATCATAAGGGGAAATAGTGATAAGATGTGATACTCCTTCCCCTTGTCAACACCTACTCTGCATTTACATTAAACTTTGTCTACCTGTATTTTTTTTAAATCCAATATTAAGAGATGTCTACAACAATAAATGCTATTCCAACTATTAGGAACAGCATTTTAAAGGCAATATAAAATGTTATAATACACAATATAGTATAGAAATGTCACTTTCACATATCTGAGCAAGAGAACTAAAGGAGAACTTTATTATTAAAAAAATTGCTGTGATATAAAAAGTAATAATAAATAAAGCTAGCTGGCTGCTGAGGGATCACGTTTATAATCCTAGCTACTTAGGAGACTGAGACTGGGAGGATCAAGGCTCAAAGCCAGTCCAGGCAAAAAGTTCATGAATCCCCATCTCAACCAATAGCCAGGCATAGTTCACCTGTTATCTGAGCAGTCATCTGAGCTACAGAAGGAAGTGTAAAATAGGAGGACTGCAGTCCAGGCAAAGGAGAAACCCTATCTCAAAAATAATCACAGTAAAGAGGGATAGAGACATGGTTCAAGTCTCCCTAGCTAGCATGCAGCCCTGAGGTCAAACTCAAGTACCACCAAAATAAAAAACTTTTTAAAAGATAAAGCTAAACTGATCCAACTTTTTAAAAAAATGGTGGACTCTATCACTAAGAAGTAACTTAACCTACTTTGTAACAAAATGATAGGTCCATGGAAAGAGAACTGGCATGTACCAGGTACATCTTCATAAGCATATGATGGGTTTTCCTTTGTAACAGTGGTTGCCAAAACAACCAGGCAAGCTACAGTCTTTGAGAGAATTTGTAGGGGAAAGGTTAAGGATAGAATGAGGGGATTAAAATGTACACAAAGAATTAAGAATAACGAATACAATATTGAGAGAAGGGTAACATAAAGGATACAAATTGAACAGATATACAGAGCAGTAACTTCAGAGTGACAGCACAATTTGCTAATAAGAAATATACCTTCCCCTCACCTCAAATCCCAAACACCAAAGTCATATTACTAAGCTCTCATTTACTACCACTGTTCATAAATTTTAAACCACTAGTTAAGTACAAAAGCAAATCTTGAAGAAAACAAGGAGAGTATTGGCAACATTCTCATTCCAAAGCCAAACCGTACCATGACTCAAAGAAAGGTGGAAATACAAACAACACTTCCGCACCGAAAACATCCAGCCTTATGTTCATCTGTAGCCATCTACCCAAGTCTTTACTAAACTTGCCCAGAATGCTACGTCTGGACACTCCCTAATACGGCGCTTGTAACAAAAACTTAAGCTCAATGTGTCATTCCAGTACCCTGAGGTGGTCAAGGATGAGGAAGAAAAAATGAAAAGCAGTAATACACAACAGAAGTCAAAGTAAAAGATGCCTAGACCAAAATCATGGTCATAAAGTGAAGGAAAAATATATGGGCATAAGAGATGGATGGATAACCACAAAATCATATTACACACTAACCAGGAGTAGAACACTCTCCCTGGAGGTAACAAACAAATGGGCACCAAAGGCAATGCATGTCTCTGAACCAGTATTAGTCAAAAAAGCTTTTGGTTGGTTTTCATGCTCTTTTAAAGATAGAACATTTAGGGTAAATTTAACAAACACTGAAGAAAACTGACATTTAACATAAAAGAAATGCAAAAAGTCTAGAGTTAAGAGCACACAGAGGAGAATGGTACTTTTGTACACAGTTGTTACTTTCCCTAACCCTCCCTTCACTTTCATTGGAAGTAACCATTCCTTCTATAACATTCGTGAATTTCTGTAACACTTCATCTGTCTCTTCAAGTCTTATGTCAGACTTTTCATAAACATTTTACCCCAAGTAGAAATATACTCTCCTCAAGGGGAATATCATACCTGACTTGCCTTTACAAAACTCAGGGCATTCACTCACTCACCCAACAAGTATTTATTAAGTGTGTAATAAATGCCAGGCACAATGCTACAAACCACTACTAAATAACTATTGTTTAAGTGAATGCTGATTATAAGGCAGAAAAATATGTTCAAAAAAGAATCCAAATAAAATCATGTATTACAATTCCACGGAGATTTAAGATGGGAAACTACAAATATTCTGGTTGGAATTTTAGTATCATGAGCTATATCTACACTTAATGGTATTATCAAAGCAAGAATGTGATGTGGTAGACACCCATAAGAACAGTGCTTCCTTTACAAGGCCTAACAAGATATTATCTTCATGCAAGAGACTTAATCTCTTACTTGTAAAATAAAATTAATAATGATTTAATAGGCTATTATCTCAAACTATAGTTCCCTAAATAATATCTGTAAAATGGGTCTTTATCAGTCCACGAAAGATAAGTTGTTTTAAGTTTGATATATTCACTCATTCAAGTGCTTACCTAAGTACCAGATACCGTTGGGCCCTGGGTTTTAAAAAGATCATCAGGACTCTGCAAGAGCCCTCCAAAATTTGAGCAGAGCTGGGAAGAAAGAGGTGTCTCATGAAAAATATCAAAGTTGAAATTCAAATGCCAACAACATGAAAACGTGTCATAATGCATTTTATTCAGGTTGCTTTTAGTCATTCCCTGTATTATCTTTACCCAGGCTCAAACTATTTCACTTCTTTAAAAGGATCCTAAAAGGTCCACCACTGCCACTCTTACCCTAATATTTTAGAGGGAGAGAGGAATGCGTATAGGAGAATTTTAAGTTTGTTTCGTTTGGTTTTTAAGGAAGAGACTTGGACAGCAAGGCAGGAAAGGGCAGAACAAAGATGGGAAACAGATGTGTGTCTTCAAACCAACAGTCCTATCAGCGCACTGCAGATTCTTGTCTTGGAGGCTTTGGCCATTCACAGGTGGCGGAAACTGTCCAGAGTTAGACAATCTGGGACACGTGACACGAGTCTCGGACTTCTGGGCCTTACACCAGAGTCCAGGAACCAAGACGCCTTTCTCAATGAGCACTGCTACAGGTAATCAATCAACAAATGTTTTATGAATCAATAAACACACCTTCACCTGGCTTTCTCTACCAAAGCCGAACTGCGTCCTGTAGGGCTCTGAAATCCTATCAAGGGCTCTGCCCCTAAAGAAAATACCGTGAGGCAGGTCTCTTCCCTCTACGCCCAATCCCAGAGAAAAAAGGGGGACAGTACTGTGGCCGAAAAGCGGTTAACTGCTGGAGCCCTGGGGAGGGCCTGGGGGGAGGCAAGGAGGAAAGAGAAGGGTCGGCAGGGTGGAACCCAGCTAACCCTCTGCATTCCAAAGCGTAGGTCAAGCCGCTGCCCCCTGTCCCCTGACCCTACCTCCTGCCTCCCTCACCTGATCACAGAGATGAGCAGCCCCGAAGGGTCTTTGCTTTTGCTGACAGTGCTTCTGTATTTCCCACCAGCTGCTTCTGCCGCCATCTTGGTAGTGGAGGAGCCACTTGACAGACCAAGGCGAACGTAAACTCTGTAGTTCACCCTGCTGGGATATCTACCAATGGGAAAAGAGAAGCCCAGAGGCGCGGAAGTGAAGGATCCAATCACTGAAGGGAGGAGGCGGGACTGAGCGGCCAGTCTCTAGGCCATGGCGCGCGCGTTTGTTCTAAGCAGTCTGGGATTTGTAGTTCTCCTTCCGTCGCTCCTGGACTCACTAAACCAGAAGCAACTTCAAGCGAGGTAATAAGCCTCTTCACTTGTATCTACTCAGATCTTGGTCTTTTTTCAGTTCACTGGCTTTTTTAGTTCAAATGCTGCCAGGCTGTTAGTCAAATTTATATGATGGTGCCAAAATGTATATGCATATAATGGATTCTATGCCTGATATATATGTGAAGTTTTAAACCAATCAAATGCAAAAATTAATAGAATCAGAAATGCTTTTTTTTATGTTTTCATAAACTAAGTATTTCTAGATTCGTATTATGTGTGTGTTCAATTTTTTTTCCGATGTACCTGTTTTCCCAGATAATGAGGGGAAAAAAATAAACACTGGAACATGCAAATGAATATCGATAAAAGACAACAGAACTGAAAAACAAAATTCACCAGATTTCAGATTCCTTTTCTTTCCAACGTAAATAAAATACAGATAATGATAATGCACATTTGTGCTTTATTAACAGATTTACTGGTATAATATTTCCTGCATTTTGATATCTGTTGGCCTAGTCATTAATTGCAAAGACTAAATGAATGAAAAGCCAATATTAGAATACTTATAGAAAGTGGGTAGATTGAAGAACAAGAAGAATAATAAATATTGAGAAAGTAGTAGGGATGTGACTTTTCTTAGTAACAGTAATTTTGGGGAACTTCAGAGATGAATATAAAATAGACTGGCACGAGGTGCTGGAGATGTAGAGCAATAAGCTCAGAACACAGCTACCTTTGTTAAGTGGACATCAAGCTGACAGAAGTTCATACGGATTTTTGGAAATTATATATGTATATAGATTCAGATATTTCAAAGTGTTCATAGCATTCAATCCAATCATTCCAGGCCTAGAGACTTTGTTCCTAAAGAAATAGAGATATTAATAAAATATTGAAATTGTTGACACAACATAGAGGTGTTAAATAAATTATGGAAAGTTAGCATGAGAAAATTACATACAGCCACTTGAAGTCATAATTTTAACAGTTTCTGATTGAAAGAAAAAATTCATGGTATAAGTGCAAAAAGCAGGCTATAAGTTAAGTAAATCATAGAGAAAAAACAAGGCAGTCAGCCCTAATGGTTAAGAATGCAGGCTGGGGAGAGAGGGAACATATAATCACTTGATGCAGAAAAAAATCTTTTGTCAAAATTCAACATGCTCACATAATAAAAACACTCAGAAAACTAGGAAAAGAAGAGAACTTCTTAAGCATAATAAAATTTTTTTTTCAAAAAACCTCCTGTGAACATCAAGTATAACACAAACGGAAAGCATTCCCACTAAGAGCAGGAACCAGATAAGGACACCTACTTTCAATTCTTCTGTTCAATACAGTACTGGAAGTTTTCTGTGTCAGTTAAGTGAAGTTGTTTGAGGCACAACAGTGTGGGTAAGTTTTCACTGTTTCTTTACATTCTTCTGTTGTTTCCAAAACTTACACACAGAAACAAACAGAAGTAATTTTTAACAGCAAGAATTACATGAATGCCAAAAATAATAGACTATTTTTTCAAATACTGAAAATGTGATCAAGTGATAACTCAATTAACACATCTAAATTAAATCTTCATTCAAGAAACTGTTTTGAAGCTGTAAAAATTAAGGGGGAAGAGAAAAAGTGATTAAGAAGAGTAAGATATAGATGAGATAAATTTATCAAAGTATATTATATGCATATTATAAATATTACATTGAAACTGCTTTATGCAATTATTTTATGCTAATGAAATTTTGAAAAGAAAGAAACTGTTTTGATTGTTCTTCCTTCACATCCCACCTCAGAAACATTTTGCCAAATACATCTTTCATCTTCACAGAACATGTTTTTACCATTACCCCTGTTCTAGGTGAACTTCCAGAGTAACTCCAAACTGGTACCAGACTGTGAAAAGAATTCTTTTAATTCTATGGAAAGATTGGCAACCTTCAGCACAGGCTCCCAAACTCAACAGGCTACTTGGAACCAACTAATGCTTATGAACCTCTAAGAGACTAATTATACACTCTTCTGGGTGGAGATGCTGACAGGGAAATCAAAGAAAAGAAAATGTAGAAATAACCACAAACCACAACATCTACTAAATGCCTAAAGATAAGTGCATAAATGTCAGAGATGTCTTAATGGGAAATAATCAATGAAGGCTGGGATGATTAGAGACGACTTCAAGGTGAATTATAATCACACTAAATAAAAAATAGAATAGGACATAAGTCCCCAAAGAGGAAAAGAAGGGCATTCTTGATAAGCTAAGAAACAACATGAAAATATGTCCCATGTTCAAGGATATAATTTTCCTGTAATAAATGGTTCATTGACAAGACATGGTATCATAAGGTAAACAGACATATAGAGATCATCTGAGAAAAGACCATGAACCCCATGGCCAGACATTGGATATGTTTGTGCAATCAGGGCAAGAAACAGTATATGTGCAGGTCTTGTTTTATGTTGTCTATTATTTTGTAAAGCAGGACAGAGTGTTTTTTATTATTACAATGGTAAATATACCCAGAGGCTCTTAAAGACACGGGAACATCCAATTAAATTTAAATGCTTTGACCTTTTTGGATGAGCAGCTCTATATAAATCCAGGATATTGATATTCTTATTATTGTAGATAAATGAAATGTGTGAGTAAGGCTAGCTCAGCAGCTGAATGGCCTCCCTGAGATTCATAAAAAACGCCAAGACCTGGGTGTCTACAGAAAACCCAGCACAGACACAAATGTGAAAACAAGTGTTTTGCAACTCAGCCATGGGGATAGTACTCATGAAAAGGGCTATTCATGCCATCAACACAGCCTACTCAGGAAAGTCAGCTCAGCTAAGACATAAAAAATGCACTTTAGGCATGGTTGAATAAATCAAGGCATGGAGTAGAGATTAGAAATTGAAGGGAAAAGTCAATGATATTTTCATCATAGAAAAAGCAACTATCTTATTTTATTCAGGATTTAAATTTTCTGCCAGCTTTCTCAGTTACATTGGTTTAGATAAATCTGAGATAAATGTAAGCTTAGTTTGAAGATATATACATATTGTATTCTGTTTGTAGGGAAAAGTAGAGCACACTAGGCTATATCTCTTCCAAGTTAATTTTATTGGCCATATTCTCAACCATATGCCTGGTTCACACACTGTCTGATAGGAGAATGGTGGGTTAATCTTCATATTGCAGTTAGGTTTCTGAGTGTTTTAGGACATTGGTCAAAAATAGTGTTTTCAAGAGTAAAGAACAAGAACCAAGCATGGTGGCTCATCTGTAATCCCAGCTACTTGGGAGACAGAGATTAGGAAGACAGTAGTTCAAAGCCAGCCTGGACAAAATGTTAGTGAGACCTCATATCACCAAACTAGATGGGCATGGTGGTTCCCATCTGTGATCCCAGCTATGAAAGAGGAATAGGTAGGAAAACTGTGGCTCAAAGCCAGCCCCTTGGGCAAACACTCAAGACCCTACCCAAAAATTAACTAAAGCAAAAAGGGTTGGGGGCATGGCTCAAGTGGTAGAGCTCTTGCCTAGGAAGTACAAAGCCCTGAGTTCAAACCCCAAAACAAAATTTAAAAAAATGTTCAAAGAAGCATGTCCTTTGTTTCTAGGAGTCATAAGCCTATCTGCTAGTAGCAACAATCTCCCAGCTTCTCTCTTGTACTCATCAACAAACACTGGATTATAGACACCTCATGTAGCCAAATACCTTTAAGCATCCTCATCAAACCTGAAATACACCTCCATGGTCTGCCATCCCCACTGGCTTCTTCACCTGTTTTTCCTATTTCATAAATAACTCAAAATTATCTCTCCAATGAGGAGGATGGAGGCTCAAAGGCAGAGCATATGCTTAACAGCCACAAGGCCCTCAGTTTGATTCCAAGCACCACATATAAAAAACAAGAATGTGTTCATTTGAAAAAGAAAGAAATCTACAAAACGAAAAGACAACCTACAGAATGGAGGAATATGTTTGTAAGTCCCATATCTTATAATATTCTAGTATCCAGAAAATGTAAAGAATTGTTGCAGCTCAGCAGTAAAACAATAAACAATTCAATATTTAAGATGAGCAAAAAATCTGAACAGACATTCCTCCAAAGAAAATATACAAATGGTCAATAATCACGTGAAAAGATGCTCACCATCATTAGTCCTCAGGTAAATGCGAATCTAAACCATAATGAGCCATTTTACACTCACTAGATTGCCTTAATTTTTTCTAAAAAAAAGGAAAACAAACTTGAGCGTGTATGTGAGGAAATTGAACCGAGGCACATTAATGGTGGGAATACAAAATAGTGTGACTACTGTGGCTCCTTAAAAAGTTAGTCATAAAATTAGTGTCTAATCTAGCAATTCTACTCTTCAGTAAATACCCAAAAAATTTGACAATGTGTTGTCAACACACATTTGTTGTAGACAAAAGTTCACTGTTCACAAAAGCCAAAAAGAGGAAACAAGCCCACTATCCACCAATGAATAATACATGGATAGACGAAATGTGATCTAGACATACAATGGAACATTATTCAACTATAAAATTGGATGAAGTTTTGATAGGTACTGCAACATGAATGAATCTCAAAAACATTATGGAAAGTTAAAGCAGCCAAACATTAAAGGTCACGTATTGTAAGATTTCTTTTATATGCAATATCAGGAAAAGATAAACCCATAATGACAGAGAGTAGATTAGTGGTTGTCAGGAGCTGAGGAGGAGGATAGTATGCAAAGATTGCTCAGTGGGCACAAGATCTCCTTTTGGAGTGATGAAATGTTCTGAAACTAGATAGTGTTGATGGTGGCATAGCATTGTGAATGTATGAAATGCCAATGAATCTCACTTTCAAATGATTAATTTTATCTTATGAATTTTACATCAAAAATATATCTGAGTCCTCACTTTAGGATCCATTAAATTATCTTTCGATTGTTCCCTAAGTTCTATCAGTTTGAAGAGCCCAGTGATGCCTCTTTTGGGGGTTTTGGAGGCAATGTTAAGATGGAGTTTTGCAATGTAGCC